TCTTCGTTACATGAACCTGCTGAAAGGCGCGCCAAAGTCCATCGCCAGAGACTGGATGAACGAAACTAGAATTCTGCTGGAAACTCAACAGGCGGTGGACACGTTGTTGGCGTACGCTGGTGCTATAGGTCTAGTGTTCCTTGGCGCTGGAGATTCGAAGGTCAGTCAAAACGATTAGAGCGAAATAATACAAAAAGGAATAATAACAATAGTAAAAGAGGAATAATTTGTAAGGGTTGATTTTCTGAAATTGTAACATTTGTCAGAATAAGGAAATGGAGCGTGATATTAAAGGATGTCTTTTTTTTTCCAATAACATTGTAATCTTTTGTCAGTCCTATTAAGAAAATCCTTCAGAAATTCTACATAATGTCTGTTTTATTAAATTTTTCTTTCTTGTTGTTGTTGGAAAAAAAGATGAATGGTCCAAGTACCATGATCCACGTGCCATTTGCAATTGGGCACTTTCTCTTTCTTGTACATACGTGAAGACCTTTCGTCATCCCACGTGAGAAAGTAGTAGAATAAAGGTGTACGAAAAATTGACAAGTTTAAAGCATATTTTAGGTTTCATTTTGCAAAGCAAAGATGTAAATTCAAGAACGATGCATTATGTTTTCCCTCGTCTTTCAACAAATAAATTCTAAATTAAAATATCTTTTAAATTTTTTAGGTATTTGTAGGAAATTTGAAGCTACAAAAAAATGTGTACAGTACGAAATATATAAAACATCGAAAGTGTGGAGTATAATGTAATATTCAGCTGACGAAACAAATTTTTATTGAGGTTCCATTTCTTTTCAGTTTATAAAAATCCACAATCTACTGACCATTTTTCGACCATGTTACTCCATTACTTTTTAACGTGGAATGACGAGAGTGAAACGTATTATTCGACGCATGTAAAAAAAAAAAAAAAGAACGAACGTTTTACATAAACCAGGCCGGTCCAATTTTCCATGCTCAGATTGTTTCTCACGCTCTTACAAATTATACACAATAGAGAACAAAAGACACTTTGTATTATAGGGGAAATTTTTCTATAGTTTCAATTAAAATTCTATCGATAGTTTCCCGGAAGAAAGTTTATTTATTTTTTTTTTTTTCTGTATGAAATTTCGTCCTTGACAAATTTTATATAAAAAAAGAATTTCAAACGTAAATTGTTAGTCCGAACAATGTTTATATTTTTCATTGTTTATACATAGTAATTAAATATAGCAAATTGTTTAACAGAATCTTCGAGCTTTATTTTCAATTTTTGGTTGAACCTTCTGTTTTCTTCCATTCTATTTTTGATATTTTTGATTCTTATTTGATTAGATCTTAAAAAAAAAAAGAATGATATTAGGCATTTTGATAATTTGTTGCCTTCGTGAATAAAGTGAATTCGAATTTCGCAAATTTTCAGGGATTTCTTTTTCTTTTCTTTTTTGAGCAGTGTAATCGAATCGTCAATAAAAATAGCCTAAATTTATCTCTCGGAGATTAAATATCGTTATTTTTTACGTTTTTTCCTTACAATTTATTTCGTAAAATTTTTTCTTCTTCTAATACCCTTCACTAAACATTTCCAAATATTTTTTTTTTTTATCAAACTTGCTACGATCTTCGAATTTTCATGTCCCGATCTTTATTCAAAGAAATGAAAAAATCTTGGAACATTATGTATTTTAACAATTATGCATAATTAATGATTGGACATAGATTTGATAAATCCAGTTTTAATCGGTTTTTACTTCAAATTTCGATGAGACAAAATCTCCATAATTTGAAGATTTGTTTCTTTTTTGTTTGCGAAGAAAATTCACTGAAATGTCTACGAGAGGAATTAGAAGTTAAAGATTTAAAAATGATCTTGTTAAAGATTAATGATAGAAAAATACGATTGGGTCAGAGCCGAAGAACGTAGCAAGGTTAACCCTTCCAGTGGTGTGTTACATGAACGCTCTAGTCATAACGTTGTTAAATAAATTAAGAACGCGATAAATTAAGAGAGCGTTGAGAGATTTTTATGCGGAAAGTGTCCAGAATTCAGGTGTTCATTACATTTTTCAAACATACCTTGATAGATATTATGCATAATGATACTTTAGAAATTAAAACACGACTGAATCCAAATTCTTCAAATTTTGATGTATGTCATACTGATTCTGAACCTATCATTCGCTCAAAACTCTTAAAACAAGCTTCGAAACTAGAGGAAATAATATTTTGCACAAGTTTATTGATATGTTAACAATTGTATTGCAAAGTGCAGTTTAAGAATTTTTATTATTATCCACGATGAATATTAACAAATGTTGAAAAATAGAAAGATTTTCGGGCGAAAGTGTGTACTATTCGCAATGAAAGATTCACCACTGGAAGGGTTGATCATCCTCTTCTTGCAGCGTTAACAGTATGATCCATGATTTTTTGCTTGCAGTAAAAAAAAGAGTAATGAGCGGGTAAAAAGCGAAACAAATCGAAACGACTTTCGCCGGCCAGAATGCTCTCCTTTCTTCGTGAATTCTCGCGTCAGAAAAAAAAACAAAACAAAAAAAAAACAAAAAAAACAAAAAAAGCTAACCGAAACGAACTAAGTGAAAGAGAAAGCTAAAGTTAAACAAAAAAGATATAGCTCCAAAGAAAAGCTCAAAAGCAAACAGAACGAAACTAGAAAATCGATAGAAAAAAAAAAAAA